CTAATACGTCAATTTGGGATAAATATTAAAACAAAAGCAGCCAACCTTCTAGTGGTTCCAAGATTTCAAGAGATTCATGACCCTTATCAAAGCAGAATGAAATGACTTGGTCAATGAAAGCTGAATTGGCAAAGTTGAGCGGTATAGATTCCAATGACAATTTTTGTTTCATCTAATAAATTGACAATAAGAGATTAGATAGATTAATCTACCTGAAGATATAGTTTCAGTAGTACTTCAATCAAGGTAGGGTCGAAATCATTGAGAAATTCATTGCAAGTTCTAAAATGGACTTCTGCAAACTGTATAAGTTGACATAGTACAGAGTGAAGTTGTTCGCCTTGTTGTATGAGAATGATGGGAGAATCGTTATCAAGCGATTGGGATAGAACATTACACAGAGCCATCCATGCAAAAGATCTACAGTCTGAAGGAATTCCCTTGAAAGAAAAATAAGATAACGGACGAGTTAAAAAGTTTCGGAACCAACTAAAATCACACTTAAATGATGTTTAAAGATTTTAAATGGCAGTTAATGAAAAAGTGTTTGAATTCTATATACCTTACTTTTTTAAAAAGTGTAAGTTCCTGAAGTCACTAATTTTCATACGTAGCCTACATCGGAAATATGGAAATACGCACTGAGATGGGTTCTCGAATACTGATAAAATAAATAGAGTGGAGTGCTCTTCGAAGTTTTTTACTTCAAATGAACATTGAACAAACGCGATGGAAATTTTCGGTCATCGCGAATATCATGAAGCTGGTAATCAGAAATTCACACATAATCTGTAACCGTACCATTTAATACATTCAAAAGAAATTCAATAGACACATAAATGGGTCTATTGTTAAAGAATTTCACTCAAAATGAATGACATTGGTACCTATTACAGAGGCAATTCGATCCAGAACCCAGGAGAGCAGGCAGATTTTACACTTCCATTGAGAAAATTATCTAAAACTGATTAGCCTTTGAAGTGCTGGCACGGCGCTTAGTGTATTACTACACGGCGACCAAAAACACATGATGGATAAATGGATTAAGATCTAGAAGGGGAGTTCGAAGGACAAATATGGGAAGTAGTGCAGGCGTAAAAATTGGCTGAACCATTTTTTTTCACTTTTCACAGAGGTGTGGCAGGACCACTGCAAGTTATCCGCATCTCTTATCCAGGGCTTAACTATTACAGTGGACAGTAATTCGACGTTGATATCTGAATTGGAATCATGTTAATGTCTTTAAAAAGTACAGAGAGAAGTAGGCAGCACACCACCATCGAGGGAAAAAGACATCCGAAAGCCATGGCCACTTGGGGAAAAGCAGTCTGCAATTCTCGATAAGCGCTGTTTGGATGATGGGAAAGGCATCTCTTATTCCAGTTTCTATGTGCTCCAGCAGGGGGTGTGCGAGAGACTTACCTCCACGTGGTGCATACTGGGCAACGTATACTCATATGGCAAAAAAGTTTATAAACCGTCAATTGACTTCTGACTTCAAACCACCATGACCCCACTGTATGTCATATTCGACTTCTTCCACAGTACTCACCTCACCTTTTTTTCTACCCTTGTGTCTGTCTGGCTCTTTTGCCCGACTGCTTGTCATATTCGACCCCTTCCACAGTACTCACATCACCTTTTTTCTACCTTTGTGTCTGTATCTTCTACATCTTCCCCACTCTATGCCATATTCGACTATTTCCACAGTACTCACCTTACTGTATGTCATATTCGACTACTTCCACAGTACTCACCTCATTGTATGTCATATTCGACTACTTTCACAGTACTCACCTCAACCGTATGTCATATTCGACCCCTTCCACAGTACTCATCTTACCTCGACTATTTGTCATATTTGACCCCTTTCACAGTACTCATCTTACCTTGTCATATTCGACTACTTTCACAGTACTCACCTCACCTTCTGTAACACTCTGCCTTTGTGTCTCTCTCTTTTACATCTATGAAACACTCTTCTGTTCCCCCCCCTGCCTTTGTGCCTGTCTCTTTTACATCTTTGAATCACTCACTTTTTTGTCTGTTCTTTTACATCTTTGAAATTCTCTTTACATCTTGAATCACTCTACCCTTGTGTCTGTCTCTTTTATATCTTCGAAACACTCTTCTGTTCGTCCTTTGGAGTTTTTCTCACTCTATTGTTCCTCTCCTCCGTGAAGTCCGAAGTCAACTAAAGGGCTAATGATAACTATCAAAACGTCTGCCATTTGAAATAAATAAATGTGCTCCAGCAGGATGTTTCAAGTTGTTCACTAGTTTTTTTTTCGAATAATTTTGCACCTACGACACAGTTATGACTAGTAGTTGTGAATGCTTTTACTGAGTTTGAAACATTTAATCAACACTGGCGACAAATCCGAAAACCCGATGAGAGGGTACCCAAACACTTCTTGCCAAAGTAAGTTTCAAGAAAACCTGAAGAGCGAGCAAAATTAGATCAGAAAACCTGTTATGTTCATTTATTCTGGCCAAAACAACCTCATAGCAAAAAATTCAATTCACATTGTTTATTGAGCATTAAGTAATGACATAATTTCCATTTTGACGGTACACGATAAACAACGTGAAATGCTTCAGCTGGACCGCAGTAATTAATTCCAATTGACAATATGTATATGAATGTATAAATGTTTATACTTTTAAAATAAGCATAGTGTGGGTGTAAGACTTCGAAACAGTCAAATATTCTGTAAAATTTACCCCAAACACCCACACACATAGAAAAGCTCACAAAATACAACCGCAACTTACAGATTTGTCCGTTTCAACACATCGAAGAAGAAGCTGAAGAAAATTAATCAAAACTGTTTTAAAAATTTCGGAAAATGGGGAAGCCAGGTTTGAAGGGCAAGACATCGATGAAGTGAGATAGTCAACAAATGCACTAAAAATTGAAAGACAATAGTTACCACGACACCATAATAGATCTCGCCTACCACGTAATTAGTTCAAGATAAGGAAGAGAAACGTCTGTGATTAAGATAATATGATTCAGTGCAGCTAGGGTATCAGTGATCAGGTCGATTAGTTTCGGTTCTGAAATATTTGTAAGTAGTCGTATAAACGCAGAAGCAAAATCAAAAGCCAACGAAATCTGCCCAGGATTGTCCAATTGAATTGAAGTTAAAATAGGACAGACCAAGTGGCGAAGCATTGCATTCTGAATTTTATTTGCTGAAATAAATGAAGATGAACTTATTAAATAAACAATGAATAAGACTAAATGTATGACGAACAATAGGACATTGCATACATCTAGAAGTGTGTAGAATTCCCATTGAAATCAGCTGAACCACGAAGAGGGAATCTCGTTGACTCGAAGTACCATCACTCAAATTATAAACAATATCAAGGTAAGGAGAAAAAAGTTTCTTTAGCGATGGGAGGTCTGGTTCATCTTTAATATCTATTTGTATGGACTTGAGGTAAAAGCCCATCAAGGAATTGAGATATTGGGCAGGAAGTCGGTCACGAATTGGAATGCATAACTGTATACATTGATAAAAGAAAGACTTGAGAAAGGGAGTCACTTTTGATCGGGATAACAAAGAAATTAAAGGCGTTTTTCCAATAAAAATAAGCCGGATGAAATGATGAATCATTTCTGGTTTGTCACATGAGATGATCGAATTAAGCAGTTCTTTCATCATATGCAGACCTTCTGTGCAAAATGAATTGGCCAAACATGGACGTACAAGAGAGAGACAAACTGGAACGACCTCAGCATATTGACTATTTAGAAGATGGATGAGCAGAGATTTGGATGCAAGTTTATCTAGACAGATTTCAGAAACTCTAGGAGAAAGACGAGCGGCAAATCGACAGGAAATCATAAAGTACTCAAAGAAAACCGAGGAAGGAGAACTCAATAAACCTTTTATTCGAATTAGTCTGTGAAGAATGTCTAAATTCACTAAATCTGTG